AGGTATACTAGCAAACCTTTTCTAGTATAAAGTAGGCCTAAGAAGATTGTGGTTTTTACAGTGAGACAGGGAGCCTAGGATTTACCTCAACCAGCTACATCTAGGCAGTAGTAGATTTGCCATGGCGCCGGGCCCACACTCCAGGGGGGCCCCGGCCAGGGCCACACTTCTTCGCCCCCTGCTCTGTCCTGCGGGGGGCAGAAGCTTGGTGCTCCTGGCACTGAGGCTCCTGCTGCAGTAGGGCCGCCAACCCCCCCCCCCCCCGCCTCCTCTCACAGCTTGCTCCGTTCCTGCCCTCACCCTCCCTGCCGCCGATCAGCTGTTTTGATCAGCTGTTTGCCGGCAGGAGGGCGGGCCGCAGCATGCTTACCTGGGGAGAGGAGGCAGAGAAGAGGCGGGGTGGGGCCTTCATCTTGTACAACAGTGAGTGCCGATGGTGGGGCAGGCAGGGCAGGGGGGGACAGGCAGTGGGGAATGAAGGGGGTGGGATGGGGAGGAGATGGAGTGGTGGGGAAGGGGCACGGGATAGGGAAGAGAAGGGGATAGGGCAGGAATCGGCAACCTTTGGCCCGCGGCCCACCAGGGTAAGCCCCCTGGCGGGCCGGGCCAGTTTGTTTACCTGCTGTGTCCGCAGGTTCGGCTGATCGCGGCTCCCACTGGCAGCGGTTCGCTGCTCCAGGCCAATGGGGGCTGCAGGAAGTGGCACAGGATGAGGGATGCGACAAGTAAACAAACCGGCCCAGCCCTCCAGGGGGCTTACCCTGGTGGGCCGTGTGCCGAAGGTTGCCGATCCCTGCCCTATCCCCTTCTCTGCCCTATCCCGTGCCCCTTCCCCACCACTCCATCTCCTCCCCATCCCTGGGATTGGGGAAACAGGGGCCCAGCATGCGATCCCCTTGGCAGCAGCTGGGGCTCCCCTGTTAAGCAGGCCCATCAAACCCTCACCCTGACAAGCCCCACCTCCCCTGCATCTGCACCACCCCGACGAGCCCCCCCGACACCGTCCCCACTGAGCCCCAACCACCTACACCCCCACCCAAATGAACCCTGTAGATAAATCTCTGTATTAAGTATCTTCACATAACTTTCATATGACTTTGTATTATGCCTCTCTAACCTTGTATTAAGCCTATCCATATATAACCTCTAACTTTCATATGACTTTGTATTATGCCTCTTCATATAACCCTGTATTAAGCTATTTTCATACAACTTTGTATCAAGTCCTTTGATATAGGAACTTTGTATCAGATCCCTATGTAGAAAAACTTATAGAAAACTTCCCCTCAGAATTTGCGGAGCTATTTGAGGTTGTAGGTCTGGGTCCACCCTTTGACTAACTGTGGTGCTTGATCATTCTTTCTTGGAGTAGTTGACTCAGGTTCAAAGAAGAAAATGAAAACTAACAAGTGGAAAGAAATTGGCATATTTTAAAAATGCTGTATATTTTATATTAGAGTTAGAGCAACTCTCACTTCCTGCTCTCAAACAGGAGCTGGCCGGACTATTCTGGAGCCTCTGAGGGCCCAAGGTTGTTTGCTCTCTATATAGCAGCACCTTGGAGCCAGCCTTCCAAGATACCTCAGAGCACCAAAAATTGTAAAAGCTAAAAGAATTTCCCACGATTCATGGTGGAGGCATGAGATCAAAAAACAATGGGGTCTAGTGATGCTTCAAAGAAACAGAACTACAGGTAAGTAATTTCCTCTTTGCAGTTTGGGCTAACAACCCTAAGTCAGGAATGATCAAGCAAAAATGTTAACTCTGCCATCTGTCATGTGCAATATTTGTTTTTCTGGTTTGTATGTGCATGTTTCTTGTTAAACTTGTATCTTTAATTTATGACTGTTTTTTATAAATCAGATGTGCAGTGGGGAATGAGTTAATGTTGCATTTGGAAACTTAACTTTTTTGCATTTCCTGACTTTCTGTGATTCAAATAGCTTTAAAGATTGTCAATTTAATGTGCTGGAAACTGACAAATTTAGTAGTAACAATGCATTAGATTATTAAAAGTGAGAAATTAAAAAAATCAAATGTTTCCACTGTTTATGCTGTTTCACTTACTATTTGCATTTCTTCTATCAGAGACAGATTTATTTTTCAGGCTTTTAGTGATATATTGATAGACTTTTGGAACTGGAAGAATGTTTAAGAACTTTTATAACAGAATGGAAGACGCTCATGGAAACACTTCTATTGACTTTTTTTTTTTTTTAACACAAAATTTAATCTTTGGGCAAAATTGAAGTTGACAATGTCCCTTTAATGTAGTTTTTACAATTGATTTATCTTGACACTGTCCCTTTAATTTTACACCATCTCAGTAAAGCAGAGCTCCCCAAACTTTTGAGGGTCGCGCACACACACCACTCCCCCGACCCTGTCTGTATGGGAGTGGGGCTGTGGCTCTGGGGCGGTGGCACAGACAGAGGAAAGGGAGCTGGGGCCGGGGCAGGGAGCGGGGCCGCAGCCAGGAGCGGGGCCACAGCTGGGCTGTGGTGGGGGGCCTGCAACCAGGCGCGGCTCTGCCCCCGGCCTCACCACCAGCCTCTGCCTTGGGCTGGGAATGGAGCCGCGGCCAGCGGATGAGGCTGGGGGCTGATGCGGGGCCATAAGTGCAGCTGCACCAAGCTGGGGATGTGGTTGGGGGTGGGACCGAAGCAGAGCTGGGGGCGGGGAGGGGCTGGGTGGAGCTCCCTCCATGGCCATGCCCCCATCCCCTGACATTCTGCCATGCCCCCCTAGGATGGTGTGCCCCACAGTTTGGAGACCTCTGCAATTAAGACAGAAATAAGGGCAAGTTGTTAAAAGTAACTCCAAAACATAACCCTGAAATGCAGTGTGTTTCTTCTCCACTTCATGTCTTTCCTGTGTGACGTCTTTTACACAACTTAATATCACCATGAAATAAAATTCTGGGCTGCATAAAACGCAATATAAAAGTGTGGTGTTAAGCAGTTTGTGTGCAGTCATTTAAAAAACCAAACCAAACCCATGAAACTTGAGACTATTTTGTCCAATGTATTTGCCTTTTATCAATTTTATTGCAATCCCACCACATTGCTTTATAGTCACCTTAATTTTCTTCCTACCACTGAAGAAATATTGATGACTTAAGATACAACTTTTCTGCTCATTGATCTAAACCCCTGAGATATGTAGCTATACAGATCTAACACCCAACCTCATGTAGACTGCGGATTATCTCTGCCAATGGGAGAACACCTCTTGCTGACCCCTGAGCTAAGGTATTAGACCCTGTCTTAGCAGGCAAAGTATATACTTTCAATCACGTTAGCTTGAGCCATTTATTTTAACAAAATTGGAAAGTTTGTTTAAGGCCTTATATAGACTAGGATTTAAGATATAATGCCAACTCTTGTTAGCAAATGCATTTGAGAAGTCCAGTCAAGGCACAGTATCTTTCCGATGTGTTAAACTGGTCAAGTTTAAAGCCTAGGCCTCCAGACCACACACAAAAGTACACCACCACGACCAGAGCTGATATTCTCAAAATAAAAACTTTTTTGGAAGAGGGGGGGGGGGGGGGGGGGGGAGGAGAGATTAAAAACATCTCTTCAGTCTATTGTATACATGATGTAACAGCAAAAAACAAACAAAAACAAAGTTGACCTGGTAAAAGGAAAATTATGGTTTTGTGTACCCATTTGTGGGGGTGCTACTTTATGATGTCTGAGGGAGGGCCCCCAAGGAAGCATTTTATCCTGTATTTTTTTTTAATGTCGTGTATAGGCCCTTCTCATCTGCTGGCAGTCTCCTTGGAGAACATGGTGGTAGATTGGGAACTTCCTTAGCCCTTAATTTAAAGAGTGTGTATGTGTAATGGGCAGAGGGTCTTGTACCTTTTGTCTTTTTTCCAGCTGTCTTGTTGGTTGAGTTTAATAGTTTTTGTTAATACCTGGTTGAATAAAAGTAATTTCCTCTCTTAATCAGGCTTCACTTGCTTGGTTGCTATGATGGACTGGCAATTTCCTGCAATATCCTGAATGAACTTGATTGAATTAAGTTGTGTATGTGTTGTGGAGTTGTATGTATTTCCTTGGGATGGGTAAATATGAGAACAGTGGTGGATGATTGGGCAAATTCACTCCTGCTGTATACATATACTACTACTGGGGGAATTCTGTGCCAAAAAATTAAAAATTCTGTGCACAATATTTTAAAATTCTGCATTTTATTTGTCAAAATAACACAATATAAGCATGCCAGTTTCAATTATTTTGGTAATTTATTTCAAAATACTTATCAGCAAGTATGTCTGTAACAATACACAAAAAAAAATTCAGGAATTTTTTTTTTACAAATAGATTCCTTATTAGGCATATTAATACAGAACTTTGAGTAATTAATTTAAACTGCAATACAGAAACTTATTTCCCGCACCCTTCATAAGCTGTGCAAAGGCATAGAGGAGTCAGGAGTAATAGGGAGAGAGAGGGAAGGTGCCAGAGAGTGAACCTGGAGGGCTGTTGGGTGTGGGTGGGAGAAGTATGGAACAGGGTTTTGGGGAGGGGGATTGTTAGGGAGTTGGGGAGCCTCCTCCATGCAGATCCTAGCTGACTCTTAGCCTTTCACATTCAGTCAGGCACATCTGCACCTTGTCCCCATGTGTCCCTGCAGCCCTCCTCCTATGCAGCCCCTGGCTCAATGCTGTCACCCCACTAGCTCATGAGCCTGCACCCCTGTTTGCCCTGCCACTAGCCCTTCTGAACCCCAGCCTGTGACAGCCCCCAGCAGCCTCATGCGCCTGCTCTGTCCATCCCATGCCTCCTCACCTGTGAGGAACGCAGCTTCTTCCCCCTCCCTCTCCACTGGCTGGTTGCCCTCTCTTCTGGTGCCACAGCAGCCCCTGGTGGGCGAAAGGTGTAACTGCACCACCTCTCCTGCAGAATCTATATTCTGGAGAGAAGAAAATCTTTTGGGCACGAGTTCTGCATTTGCGCAATGGTGCAAGATTCCCTTAGGAGTAATATACTAGTTCAGACTGGATTCTCTAGGATCCAACAAACAAAGAAAGGGTTTTTGGATAAGTAGCTTGGTTTTAATACTAGCTCAGTGCTTTCTTCCTAATCCAGCAAATGGAAGGACCCCGGTCCCTGGAAGGTCCCAATCCTTGGGGTAGGGTTAAGGACTCGGCCTGCCAGAATCCATGTCAGGGTTAGTCCTAGTAAGCTTTATGAGCATGCATGTAGATTCTTTTTATTTTTTCCCCCCCTCTGCAATGCTTTTTACCTTAAAAACAAGGTAGGTTTGCATAGGAAGTGCTGTGTGGTAACTTGTAACTGTTGACAGTCACTTTTATCCGTATCTGAAGAGACAGTAAGCACACCTGTTTAGGAGACTGTCTTTACTGGAAAATACACAGTGAAGGAAGGGAACTGTTCAGCCTGGACATACCTTGGTCAGAAGGGAGTGAGACCCATTATAGGTCTCTATCAGAAAGAGGGAAGAGCTGGAAGCCTGAGATTGGGTGCCCTTTTTAGATCACTTAGAGGAAATACAGGTACAGTTGTCCTGAACTGTGATAGTTGCTGTAGTGTTAAAATGCTCATACGGTTGTCCATAGTCTTCCAGGAAAAAAACAGGGTGGACAAGCTCTGAATTTTTAATGTAGTGGGAAAACACTTTTTAAGAAAAAACTTTCCTGAACACCTTTATACATTATAGAAGCTCATATTCAATATATTTTTCCTTTTGCAGGCAACCTCTATTTCCTCCTGGCAGTCTTAGGTTTACCGACTATTACTGTGTTCATCTTCTAATCCATGTGTATGTGTTAAAATGTGTCTTTATGCACTCACCACTGCTATTTCACTTCCTTTTCCTGTAACCCCCAGTCCCAGCTTTCCAGAGTCCAGTATGTGCAATATTCAACTACATCAACTTGATTTTTCCACTTGTATCAAGATCAAGCTTAAAAACTCCTCTAGTTCTCAACAACTCCCATGGAGTCTTCCCATCTTACCTCAGACCTGTTTCTGTACTCTTGCTTGTGCTCATCTGCCCTTTGGAACAGCTTTTATGTAGGAAGTTTTAACAGGTTTACAAATCGTTACCACCTAAGTGTCAGAAGAAAACAGTAAAACGAATGTGTTTACTGGCTTGTGTGGCACAAGATTTACTTGCATGTCTCACTGGTGTCTTGTTTTACATGCTTTAACTTTGTAGTCAATTTTTAAAAGATTAGATTGAATGTAATTGTTACACGTAGGCATACAAAGTTGAGACTGTAGTGCTGTATAAGCTTGTTAGCTATTCAATAGTAATATTCACATACAGGAAAAACAAAAAAACTAAGTTGTCAGCTGTTGGAAACAGCTTAATCGCTTAAAATTCAGAAATTTATTTTATATTGGGCAGTTGAAGTAGCTTCTAAAACTAGCTGTGACCGGGGTTTCCAGCGCATTGTACGTAGGGGCCCCACCTACTCTTTCCCGGCGTTTCTGAATGTTTGTGTTTTGCTGACTGCACAGCGAGTTCGGTTGATCACGAGGTTAATGTGCCTGGGTGGCTCCCTGGGCCGGGGGGAGGGAAGGCAGCACGCAGGAGCTGCCGGCTGCTTTCTCCGCCGCCTCCTTTTTCAGTGCGCCCAGGCTGGTGCTAGGAGGAGCTCGACCAGAGCAGGGAGACAACTGACCTTTTGGCAGCAAATGGCTTTTCCACAGGAGACAACGCAGGGAACTCAGGAGTTCTCCTCTCTGCCTGTTACTCGGGCTTTGCAGCCCCCTCTCTTCGGCCCGGCTGGAGCTGCGCAGAGCTGGTGGCAGCGTGTCCGTAGCCAGATCCTTCTCATGGGCGCTCCGTAGCTCAGCAGTCGAGGGAAGGAAAGGCGTCTGCAGCAGCACCAGCAGAGCTTCCTTTGCTGGGCAGCAGCCGGAAGAGTTTGGGAAACCATTTTAGGGAGACTTTCTGAAGATTCTTGTGTGTGTGACAGGTCCTAAACTGGAACAGATCGGACAAAGCTGTTTCCTTCTCCCTCATATCCCGCTGTGGATTATTGAAGAAACTTCACTTGTGGGGGAGTTTGGCTAGGTTTCTGCCTACGGCGCTAGAGGTTTTAGTGCCCCGTTTGAGTGATTCCCTCGCATGAAAGTAGCGCCTCTCTGGTATCGTTCCAGGTCTCTGTCCTCAAGCCTCATGTTACCAGGAGGGGCCTCTGTTATGAGTTGTTTTTGTTTCTATGGGGAAACGTAATGAGCTGTTCCACTCCTCATGACGGGGAAATCTGCCTTGAGCTTTCTGTATTCGTGGAAGGGGGGAGTCCTGTTTACATCATGTTTGCCAGGAAGTAAAACCAGCAAGAGAAAAGGTATTTTTTAAACCTTCTGTACTACAAACTTATTAGGTGCACCATGTTAAGGCTGCCATCTGGGATTTGAGAGTCTCCAGTAGGTTCAGGCATTGCAAAAAAATAGTTTTCCTGCTCTGCAGTTTTGGGAATAACTTTAGGTTTGTTTTTCCAACAGGTTGATACACTGGTTCAGGTTTTGGTTCAATCATGAAACATTTTTTCTTGATGCAGAATTTAAAAATTTTAAAAGTATATTTTCCCCCTTTTCTGTACTTCAGTTTCTTTCTGCTATTATTTAAACCTTGTAAAATGTTTTAAGATACATTTTTATGTTAAACCATATGCAATAATATTTTTGGTGACTCACTGAGTACCTTAGTTTCTCAGTGTTGCTTAGAGACCAGCTCCTGACCCCCACAGTGAGAAAGGACTGGTGTGGGATCTTATGTATGGGATAGCACCCGAAATAGCAAGTGTTGCATATATTTTCACCTGACACCAGTTTGCTATTCTGACAGTTGTATGAAGGTTTCTGTAACTGCAAAAGAAGCTTTAAACAATTTTTTGTACATAACTTTGACTGGTTTCCAGTTATCTGTTTGCTTGCTTCCTTGCTTTTGGTGGAAAAAATGTATCAGATTAGCATAAAATGTAGGTATGACCAAAAATGTAGGCTTTAAAGAGTAAGCTTATGAAAATGAACTTTTCTTGTTTCTCCATTATTTTGTATTACTACTGTTTTCTGCTTTTTCCATGGTGATGAGGGTGGAGAAAAGAAGGGGCTTTGGACAGCTTTTGGCTTCGACAGCTGGGACATGGGGCAGTAGTCTGCATGCACGGGCCAAATCCTTAATCAGCCTGTTACTCTAGCTGGCTCTATGAAGGGCAGTTGGCTGTTTGAAAGGCCGTATTCTGATGGATGTCATCTTGTTCTGAGATGGTGATTAAAACCATGGGTGGAGAGTGTGTGATGGGGAATCTGCCTGTTAAAACGTACCAATTCCATTTGATTTGATGAACTCTAATTGTAACTTGAAGGGTGGGATGGAGCCCCCATTATGTATCAGAACTTTGTGTCCTGTGCTGAGAACCAGTTTGAACTGATATATGCTAGCCCAGGGGTCCTCAAACTGGGGGTCGGGGTCACGAGGTTATTACATGGGGGGTCGAGAGCTGTCAGCCTCCACCCCAAACCCCACATTGCCGTCAGCATTTATAATGGTGCTAAATACACCTCTACCTCGATATAACGCTGTCCTCGGGAGTCAAAAAATCTTACTGTGTTATAGGTGTAACCGCATTATATCGAACTTGCTTTGATCCACCAGAGTGCACAGCCCTGCCCCCCCGGAGCACTGCTTTACTGTGTTATATCCGAATTCGTGTTATATCTGGTTGCATTATATCTGGGTAGAGGTGTATATAAAAAAGTGGTTTTTAATTCATGGGGGGGGGGTCGCACTCAGAGGCTGGCTGTGTAAAAGGGGTCACCATTACAAAAGTTTGTGAACCACTGTGCTGACCTGTTTGGAGGTGTTTTCACACTTTTTGCAGGTCTAATAAAGGAAGCATAATCTAGACTGCTCCTAATGATTTATGGACTTGCTAATGACTTTTATCCACTGCTCACCCCTAAGAAACAATGGTGTTCTGCACATGAACTCAGCATGGGGCCCTACACTGGGGCTCATGACCAAGACTGGGTTTATGAGAAGGGGTTGTGTGTGCGTGGGGACAAACCAACAGGAGCAGCAAGAGGCTCTTGCTGTAGGAAGACAAGGAAATCTCCACCTAGCCTGAACTTGGACAGACCATGACCCAAAAGATTCCTAGGACTGGTGAGGAAACTGAGAGAGGACAGACCTTTGTTGTTTTTTCTACAGATCTAACACTCACTTTTTTAAAAGCAGAAGAGTTAATGTAGGGGTAAGCAACCTATGGCATGCGTGCACGTGAGCTGATTTTCAGTGGCACTCACACTGCCCGCGTTCTGGCCACCGGTCCAGGGGGCTCTGCATTTTAATTTAATTTTAAATGAAGCTTCTTAAACATTTTAAAAACCTTATTTACTTTACATACAACAATAGTTTAGTTATATATTATAGACTTACAGAAGGAGACCTTCTAAAAACGTTAAAATGTATTACTGGCACGTGAAACCTTAAATTAGAGTGAATAAATGAAGACTCGGCACACCACTTCTGAAAGGCTGCTGACCCTGAGTTAATGTGTGTATTAAGAAGTTCCTTTCCAAACATTGCATGTAGGGCATAACTAGAGTAACCAGAGTGCACCCAGCCTGATGGACTCTGGACGGAATGGATCTAAGCAACTGGGAAGGGAGATGGAGATCAGGAGGGCCAGGGCTGCGGTTTCAGTGTCTGGGTGGCTGCATTTTGGGGTCTCTACAGCCAAGAGTGTCAGACATGGGGTCTGCATCTGAGGAGTGCTCTTGGGTGTCCCAGAGCTAGGAGTAGTGATTAGGCATTACCCAAACCCTTGGAGTTTAGCATCCCATAGGATTTGGCAGTTGGCTCCCTTACAACAGACTAGTGTCCGTTTAGAGAGAGAGAGAGAGAGGAGGTCTTGCAGGACTAGACTGGATTGTGACAGAGATCTCTCTCTCTCTCTGTGGCCTCCCGTCACCCCTGCTTCAAACAGGAGTGCCTCATAATAGGAAAGCAGCAGTCCAGTTATGCAAGTATTGCTGTCAGGTAGCCACAGGAATCAATTTAGGGCCTTAGTGGCCCCTGATAAAAACCTGGAGGACTATAATGGTAGAATCTAGTTTGGCTCAATCTATCTTCTGTAACTGGGGAACCAATCATGGATTGCAGACAGTCCTATACCTCAACACACTAGCAGCATAATCTGGCATACTAAAGTCTTTGGGCTCTAAATAGGTACATGGTCAGGTCTGTGCTTATGGGACTCAAACAGCACAAGGGTTTTGAATGCTGTGTTCTAGGCTGATACAATGCATCACTGCAAGTTTCATGTGAACCTCGTAAAATAAATGAGGAACAAAGGACTGGTCTCAGATGAAAAAATGTTCCAAGCTCTGGCTTGGGCAGAGATGCTTTTTAGGAGGGAATTGGAATGTCCTGTCACAGTGGAAATGACCCATAAATAAATGATTACTTTGAAATGAACTAGTCCTGAGATGCACACCCATAGGAATCACCTGATTCCCTGTTCTGTACTGATGGTGTGCATCTAGAAAAAATAGGTGCCTATATGATCAATCTGGATCTCTGGTCCCAGGTGGGAGCAATTCCACAGTTGTGGGTGGGTATGGTGATAAATTAGGTGCTCACTGCTTTTTATTGTAGGTATCCCTTTCTAAAAGTAAAAGTGGGAAAGGGGATAAGGTCTGTCTCTAGGCTCTTGGGCAGGGTTGGGAGAGGCAGGGAGAACTGACCCTGGAAGGGGAGGCACCTCAAGTAGTTGACAGTTTATGGTGGAGTGGGGCCCAGTGGTTAGATGGCGATTCTCGTATTCTTTTCCCCTTCCCTTCTGGAGGCACAGGAGACTAGGCAAGGCTAGTTTTTTCACAAACACTATTGGCTACTTCCATATGTATGCATGTGTCTTATAATTTAGAGTTGCAATCTGTCGACTCTTTGATATGCGTTGTTTTGTCGTCCTCATGTTTCTAGTAGCTATCTTCAGAGACCTGAAACACCTTCATAACTGAATAGCTTAAAAAAAAGAAAAACGTGCAACTAAAATGTGTGTGATAACCCCGAAGAAAAAATTTAAAAGTCAAATTAATTAAAATATTTTCTTTTTCTGGTTTGGTAAACAAAATATTGAAACTGTCTCACAGATTAAAGGCGTTCTTGCTTTCCTGGCTAAACGATCTCTTCTGAATATGTAGGGAAGCGTATCTTTTACTGACACATCCTGCTGAATATTTTAGTTTTTCTTGGGGGGGAAAAAACTATAGTTTCTTCCCAAATACCTATCCACTAGGGTTATATTTTCTGAACTGAAAAAGTGTAGCAAAATGGCAACTTTCCCTGAACGTGACATTTAATATACAATTCTTTTAAGTTGCCACAAGTGTTTCAGTGTATACCTCAAGAAACAAACTTCCACTCAGACTTCAGTTTGTTGGATATTTTTTCTTACTAATAATAGTTTGGCAAATACAGCAAAAGAACCTCTTCACTTTCAGTAGGCTGAGGTGGAAAGTCATTCAGAAACAACCTGCCCTAAAGACCAGAACATTCTAAACAGCAGGGAAAGGGAGGGGGAGAGGGGAAAAAAAGATAGGGCTAAGACCCTCTTTTGAGAAAAGAGTATTGTTTTCTTTGAGAAAATAGAGTCTCCTTTCACCTTAGCATCAAGGAGAGGAGGAAAAAAGAAAATCTAAAGAGCTAAATGGTCTGGCCTTTAGCTCATTTTCCAGCCAATGCCTCACTCCCACCTACATACTCATATCTCAACATCAGGATTTTTCTACACATGTCCAGTAAGCAGAGTAAATGGCAGAAAGTTTGAATAGCAAGGTTTTTTTTTTTTGAGACTTTGCTTTTCACAGCAAATGGCTAGTTTCATGTTTGCTAAATCTGAGGACTTTGAAAATATAGCCTTACTGTCATTAGTAGGATGGTTCTTATAGAAGCATGCTTATGGTTAGAACCCTTTATTTTCTTGTCATCTTGGGTGTGATATAGTCACTTGTTCTATATATCCAATATACACACCAAACACCTATTCTTCAGGAGTGCCATTACTTTCTCTCTCTCTCCCTCCAAGCAGACAGACATCTACTCTCAATCTTAAATTAGAAAATTTAACAGAATTTCTGTTCCTTGATCTCAACTTTGTAAAATTGGCCAGCATGCAAGTATTTTACATCCTTTCCAGCTTCACTCACATGCACTATAGCCACACTCTTCACATTTAATGAGTATCATGTTTGTTTGTGAAATATACAATGTATTAAATGCTGTCTGATTTTTTTTTTTCTCAAATAAAAAATTGTTAAATCAACAATTACATGGAAGACTCATAGTTCTGGAGATACGGGTGTACTGACACATTCTCTTGTATACTAACTCTGATTTTCCTTCATTACAGAAATGAGCCGTCAGACTGCTACAGCACTACCTACAGGTACTTCAAAGTGTACACCATCACAGAGGGTGCCTGCTCTGACTGGCACTACAGCTTCCAACAATGACTTGGCAAGTCTTTTTGAGTGTCCTGTGTGTTTTGACTATGTGCTGCCACCTATTCTTCAGTGTCAGAGTGGCCATCTTGTTTGTAGCAACTGTCGTCCCAAGCTTACATGCTGTCCAACTTGCCGAGGCCCACTGGGTTCCATTCGTAACTTGGCTATGGAAAAAGTTGCCAATTCTGTACTGTTCCCATGTAAATACGCCTCTTCTGGATGTGAGATAACTTTGCCACACACAGAAAAAGCAGACCATGAAGAGCTGTGTGAGTTTAGGCCTTATTCATGTCCATGTCCTGGTGCTTCATGTAAATGGCAAGGTTCGCTGGATGCTGTAATGCCACATTTGATGCATCAGCATAAGTCAATAACAACACTACAGGGAGAAGATATAGTTTTCCTTGCTACAGACATTAATCTTCCTGGTGCTGTTGACTGGGTTATGATGCAATCTTGTTTTGGCTTTCATTTCATGTTAGTCTTGGAGAAACAGGAAAAATATGATGGTCACCAGCAGTTCTTTGCTATTGTACAACTGATAGGAACACGCAAGCAAGCAGAAAATTTTGCTTATCGACTTGAGCTTAATGGTCATAGGCGGCGATTGACTTGGGAAGCAACTCCTCGATCTATTCATGAGGGAATTGCAACAGCCATTATGAATAGTGACTGTCTAGTCTTTGACACCAGCATTGCACAGCTCTTTGCAGAAAATGGCAATTTAGGCATCAATGTAACTATTTCAATGTGTTGAAATGGCAAGCAAACATTTTCAGGCCAGTGTTTAAAACAGTTGCATTTAATTTCGCAGAAACTAGGGTAACCATCTTTGACTGCCAGACACAAACTATTTGGTAGAGGGAGGCTAGACGTATATGAAGGTAAATAAAAGGAAAGGCTGTTAAATTGCAGGAAGCAGTTGCATGTAGTAACACTAATATATTTAAAATAAGTCAACAGTAAACCACTGAAAATATATATACACCCAAAATGGGCATCTTTTGTATTAAGAATTGATTCTACAGGAAATGTTGTAAAATAGTTCTAAAAACTTGTTTGTAGATTGATTGTACTGTTGAAAAGGATACTGTTGTGTGTTTTGTTTTTTTTTTTCCTTTGACTGACAAGCCATGTTGAGCAGTCTGGTCTCTTGCCGCTGCTTTTTCCCCTTAAGTCACTACATAGTATTGCTGCTGTTTTGTGTATATTTTTTGTGTATTTGCTAATTTTTATTAACTTCTAGTTTTTCATTAAATAAATGACTTTCTTTTCTGTAATTCAGGTTTTCCTCCTTTTTGTACCTTTTAAAAATTAATTGCAGGTGTCATCTTTTGATATGCATAATTGCTTATGGTAAAACTTATACTTCTGTACATTTGGTAAATTAGTCTTTTCCCAGTAGTCCATTCATTGGTGATACTGTTCTTAATTCAGCTATTTTGTGAATGTATTCAACTCTAAAGAAGCAATTACATTGGAAGAATTATCAGAAAAACGGCTCCTTTAAAAACAGACCTAGATGATGATGTACTTTGTTATACCTTCAAACAGAAGTGAGGAGTTATTGGGTAACATCCTAATTAAAAAAACTGAAAATGCAGGCACACTTTAAAAATTTAGAAACTTCAGCCACAAACTCATGCTTGTATTTTGGTTTTGCAGTACAAGAAGGCATTGTCTTATGCAGTATTTGTAACTATAAAAACAGACCATTTAAAAAAAAGGCAGTCTCAGAAAACAATGTTTTTGGTCTTTTATAATTTTGTCATTAAAAGAATACCTGGCAAACGAAAAACTCTTGTTTTTTGCTTTAGCACAATATTTGACTAATTTAATATTTTAACTCAACTTTGCTTGTTCTGGTATCCTTTGTCTGATTGTTACTAGAGAGAACCAACTTTATTTTCCTTAGTCATACTAATCTTGTATGTCATCCTACCATGTTAGCGATACGATGAACAATATACATCTAAAGGTCCATGCAATTCTCTTGCATTTAAAGGCATAAGTGGTATATTGGGGTCTTTTGCAGGTTGCTTGCAAGTTTGAGAAATTCACCTTGAATGTATGTCCATATACAGCACTGAGATGGTTAATGTAAAAAAGAAATAATGTAAAAGAGAACTATTAAATTTCAAACTACTTTAAAAGTATCTCTTTACAAAACTTGCTGTTGGGAGAAGTAGGATGAATATTAGCTACTTTTTGTATAACATTAAAATATAATTTATTTACTATATATTGTCTAACTTTCTTGTCAGAAACTGATCTATGTTAAGACAACTCATTGAATTATTTTTGGTGCAGTGATTACACATTTTAGCTTGATGGGGTAAGTAGTCATACAGGTAAGGAATGTGAACCAGTATAGACTTTTATAGACAGGCCAGTGCAGAAATAGTTCATTTTATATAGTTACAGAAGTAAACTTCAGAAACTTTTTTTAAAAATTGTGATGTTGCACTGTTCAAGAGGATAAAAACTTAAAGAAATGCCAGTATATTTCTTAATTTACTGTTACACTTTGATCTCTAGTTGAATACGTGTTGTGTCAATTTTCTAAATGCAGCCTATTTAATCTTACCTACATTTACCCTGATTTTATTTTTGCTATACCATGAGGTGTTTGGCTACAGCAGTTACAACCTAGTGGCTGGTAGGTTTGAAATTAAGACTTTTTTTATTTAAATTTGTTTCTCATTATTGAAACTTACATTTCAATTCTAATTCTTTCAGAGGCTGTTGATAAATAGTGTGGACTACTTTTACATCCAGACTTTGGTTTGAGTAGTAGATTAACTGCTATTAAAATACACAGATTTGAGGCTTGCCTAAAATGAATTAGTAGGATGTTTTTATTTTCTGTGTTTTAAGAGATGGTCGCTTCCTTAGATATTAAACGTTCTATGTGATGATATGGCTGGAACTGAGGAGATGATCGTTGTATGTTTGGTTGATTCTAATACCTTCTCAGATCTTGTAACAATCTATAAAAGCTTTTGTTGTTTAAATTTAGTGGAAGTCTCTTTACTTGGTGAGTCAGAACTATGATTTTTAAATATAAATGTCATTTATTTTTAAAGTTGCCCAAAAACAACATTCAACAACCAGCTACCACATTTTACCAATCTGGAAACTGCAGTACTCCTCTGATCATAGTAGTTCAGGAGAGACAGCAGCAGTGAATGCTTCCACATACCACCTAGCCAGTCTCCCTTAGCCAGGTGTTGAAAGTAAAAAAGAGGACAGCTACATTTTACACTCCTGCTTAGTTGTTGGTTGCTGCAAACTACACCCACTTAGACTCCTTTACACACAAGATACTGTAATTACAGAAATGTCAATCTTGCTTTGAGACTTTTAGGGATATTTATTTAAAAAAACAGGAATCAGAGCATTTGCTTGGACTAACGGTGCGAAGCCAAATACACATGGGGTGGGGTGCAGAGTAGCACCTTGAATGCTTGTAATGCATGCTACAGGAGCTGGGACCTCTCTTTCCTTCTAGCCATTTATGGCCAAGGATCATTGCAACCCCTACCCCTGGGAGAAATGACAACAGGAAATTTGCCCTCCTATGCTTTCTACAGCTGAGTTACCTTGGCTGGAGCTGGTCCCTGTCCTGGTCATGTTCCCCTGTGGACTGTGTAGTGGGGGTCTGATAGGAGGCAAGCTGTGCTGATTGTCAGTGGGGTTTGGGAAGCTGGATTCACTGCTCAAGCCACTGACTGCATGTTGTGCTCCAACTGCCCCAGGTAGACCCTACTGACATACTCTAGGTACTGGGAGCATGTTAATGTAGTCCAGCAGGTTCCACTCAGAGTGGTTAGAGCACAACACACAGCCTGTGGCTTGGATGGTGAATCCAGCAGTGCCCCAACCAATTCAAAGTCACTCCAGCATGCCTCTTATCAGAGCTCGCGGTGCAGCCTATGTATGAGAACACCCTCTCACCTGTGGCACTATGTGCTGTGTTCATCAGACCTGAGTAGTGGTGAATGGTACATATGCTCCAGCTTGCAAAATTCATACATTTAACCCTAATTTCTTCATTACAGGTTGGGGGGGGAAAGGATTACAAAAAAATAGGGTTGGCATCTCTGTGGTGCAAGTCTGAATGAGTCTTAGATTCACCTCAGAATTTCAGGCAAGGGTGTAGTTTTACTTTGGGAGGGAATCTAACATTTAAATACATATACTAGACAAATTTCAATGTCCTACATGCAATTGTGTTTTGGGTTTAGTTAACAGAACTTTAGAAATGCTAACACAATAGTTTGAAAATAGGGCCAAGCTTCAGAAAATAATGTATATAATAAAATACACCACTGTCCACCAAAAAGCATAACATGATGGGAAATGAAAGAGGTTCATCTGCATTTTTCTGGCACAATAATTTAACTTCCTTGCACTAAAGCTAGGGTTGCTTTAGAAGAGTATGTCAGCATAAGTGTAGTACTTTCATAAAATGATTGCTGCTTGTTGTACTTTTAATAGGTAAACAGGACATGGGGTGTTAAAGGCTTAATATTAACTTGCATCTACAATGATTTACGCTTTGGGACAGTTCAGAATTGAGTACAATTTACGATAGACTTGAAAGGTGAGCTTGCAGTAGTCCCCACAGACCGTTGCTCATATCAATGGGCAATTTTAAAAGATTTTACATTAACTGTAAACACGATGTTGCTTTCAGACTTTGTCCCCCCTGACATTTAATGTCATTCAGATTGAGAATGGTTAAAATATGGTCATGAAAGACAATTTGTTTTTTACTGTTATGCAGTAAGACATTAATGACCTATATTAAATATGTTGTACTAGATTGAAAAATAGTGGTATTTAAAATGCCTAGGAATGTTATATTAGCAGTGACTATTTACATTAGAAAAGTTTACTCAATTATCTTTATTTAAAATAATGGAATGAAGATTCTTCTTTATATTTAATATACTTAGAGAGAAAACTGTCAAACAATTCTATCCTTAATCCAAATACCTGTTTTTATGTGTTGTACTACCATTAATAAAAACAACCTCTAGGTGCATAGGCTTTGGGAAGGCAAATGTGAACGTTAACATTCAATGTTTCTCTGTTCAGACATTCCTTGCATGTATTTGGTTATTTAAGATGTTAAAAGTTATTGTTTGCACTATGCACAGTGATAGGTCTGTTATATAGAGTTGCCCATAACATTCCTATAACTGAAACTACTATAATTCAAAGTATGTTATCCAGATTAATTCATAATACAGTTCTGTATAATTAATTAACTTTTCAAAGCTATTCTGAATAAAATTAATTGCTTCACACTGTGATGGGCCACCTACTTAGGAAAAATATTAGTTTGTGGGCAGAGGGAAGAACAGCAACTGCATTTTTGCAACTTTCCAAGTCTGGTTCTCTTAGTCTAAACGTGTAGTCAAAGTAGAAGGTTCTCAAAATGGCACTAGATAGCTGACACACCACACTACTAATAGCCAGCATTTGAGTATCAATTACAACTTACATTCATCAAGAATGTACTGTTTGTGTCAAGAATAGGAGTCACGTGATAGTAAGAAAGCATGAACAGCTGAATGCAATAAATAAAATACAAGTGTCCTTAATGCAGAAAAGTGTACAAGCGAAGGTAGTGGTATGCATAACCTCATTCACCTATTTAGATATTAAAAGCTATGATTAGTGTTTGTTTAAAATTTTTTGCTATTAAAGGACTTACTGTATATACTTGATCATAAGCTGGTTCATTTATAAGCCAACCCCCCCCAATAGATATTTTCCATTTTTACTTATCCATGACCTGTTCATAAACCAACCGTATAATTCAGGGGTCAGCAAATTTTGGCTCCCGGGCCATCAGGATAAGCCACTGGCAGGCCGAGATGGTTTGTTTACCTCAAGCGTCTGCAGGCATGGAGGTAAACCTAAGTAAGGCCAGGATAGCAACTGGTGGGGAAATTTGGGGGAAGGGGGAGAGAAGCTGGGGCTTAGGGGTGTAACCTGTGACCACCCATCTCTGGCCTGGCTGGAGCTGCTCCAGGGGGCAAGCAGCATGGCCAGCAGAGGAGAGACTTGGCCCCACCTCTTCTCTGCTGGCTCTCCTTGCTCCCTCTGTTGGGGGGGGAGGGGCTGTGTCCCACCTCTCCCTCGCTATACCCATTCATAGACCCCCTTCTCTGGTGCTTCCCTTTTTTACTAAAAAAAAAAATCAGCTTATGAATGAGTATATACGGTATATCTTTAAAGAAAGGGGGGGGGGGGGGGGGGAGTGCAACTGGTTTTCAACCACCAGTAGCTTTCTAGGTCCCAGTCCCCCTCTGCTTATTTCTGAAAAATGCAGTATGTACTTCTACCAAGTTCAATGAAAATGAATGCACTTGCAGTTTAGCATAAACTATGCAAATATAATTTGTGTACAGAATTTCTGCTGGGCTCTTCTAAATGTAGTTTTACAAAAGTACAGTTTGCAGGGGGTTGGAGCCCTAGGAAAATTGAGTCCTCACTAGGCTCTATAGTGGACAACACCTCAGTGACCTTGTTGCTATGGAAGCTGATGGAACTCTATAGTCCTTTATTAGAATAAACACTTTCTATATAAATCAACCAGTCACACAAAATATATCCATCCCATGCAGAATCTATGTACCCACCTTCTAATGGAAAAAAACATGCTTGTTTAAATAGAAAGTTCCTACAGTGGCTTCTGAGTTCCTGCTGCTCCTCTCAGTACCCGGTAAGGGCTACTGCCTTGTCCCTCCATGTCAAAAAGGAGCAGCTGAGAGCAGGAAGCTT